CCTTGAGTACACATTGAATTTGGATGACATAGTAATGTAGTGAAATTTTTGTTATCCCAATGAATCATTTTACGAAATCTTCATTCTTTGACGCATTTGAAATTTGTGTACTTAACATAGTCTAGCAGTAGTTATACATTGACCTACTTTTATCAAGAGAACGCGATTGGTGTAATGGAAACAATTATTATTATAACCAATTTTACTACGGCTCGTTTTACCGTACTCGTTTGTTTACTACCGCGCTAGTTTCAAAAAGGGCAGTGATTTTTGTACTTGTTGTGATTATACTTGCTTTGGGTACTTATTGCACTAAAAAGCATTCTTGGTCTACTTTAACTAAAAGTACTTTGGTTAAAGGTTGAAATTTTTTGCTAAATTTTGTCCTGAGTGCCTTTTTTAGTCCTTGACTAACACTTGTGTTCACACTGTGATCATTTTTTGTTTTTAAACCTTTTAAATCGAATTACAACGGTTGGTAAGACTCACAAGTGTGGACAACCAAATTGTTTGTTCTCTGTTGAGGAGGGAATGCAGTGTGACGATTGTAAAAAGTGGTACCACAAAATGTGTACACGCTTAAGTCCGACGGCTTACAAAAAATGCTCGAAGCCTGACTCTCATTGGCTTTGTATGTTCTGCTGTACGGATAAAAAGGTACTAATACAAGAGTTTATGGGCCTATTGGCTTTGGCCTGCAAGAAAAAACGATGGCGGAAGCATTGATAACAGGAGCACTGACGATGAAGAATGTGTCAGTGTAGTAAGTGATGCTACTGGACCCGTTAAACACCTGACTGCGGTTGACGGGAACGTGAAATCTCCGTTGACAATAACGAGGAATGAAGTGTCGCTTGATATTGACATCGGCAGTCATACACCTCTAGTCGAAATAGAGGATCCGGATAAAACTGTCACCGTTCCACATAGTCCAGGTGTGGCTGTTCTGAGTGGTGACAAATGGACTTCGGTAAGAAGAAAAAGAAATAAGAAGAAAAAGGCTGTAGGCAAAACGCAGCTGGTCAGCAAGGCGTTGGAAGGGATGTTATCAGAAGAAAAATCCTCACTGCGTGACAAGACAGATCTCTCTGATAGATCAGTCATTTTTCATAAGATAAGAGAATCTTCAGATACAGAACCAAAGGCAAGATTTGAACATGATCTCAATCATATTAAGACATCATTAAGTAAACTACTCCCAGATACAGTTTCAGGAGTTAGTATTTGTAGGCTTTATAGAATAGGAAAAAAGGTGGATTCCGAAAGTCCTCAGAAAAACCGCCTCCTAAAGGTTACATTCAACACGGTGGAAGAAAGGAACCTGATTCTAAGTAATTCACGTAAACTGATTGGATCCGGAATATATGTCCGTGAGGATCTTAGCCTAGCAGATCGTATTAAGAGACGAGCTGCAGAGGCGGAAATAAACGAGCGTCGCCGAAACGATGGAAGAAACCTCGTTCTTAAGGGTTTTCAAATTGTAAAAGTTCGGAGCAAAACGATCCCCAAGCCACTCTGGGTGGCAAGGGAAAGCTCTCCACAGACTTAAAAGTGTGCTACACAAATGCTCGCAGCCTACTAAATAAAATGGCGGAGCTGAAGTCAGTGGTGGATAAAGAAAAACCGGACGTTATTGCTGTCTCGGAAACTTGGTTAACGTCAGAAGTATTAGATAGTGAAATTCAGTTGACTGGTTTCAAAACCAATAGGGCTGATAGATTAAACCGAAAGGGAGGCGGGGTTATTCTGTACACAAAAAGTACCCTTGTAGAATTTATGGTCTACGATGATATTAGTACTGCTTTAATAATAGACCTAATCCTAAATTTGTAGATTTGTCATGATATAACTGCCTAATCCATAAGATCTTACGTGGAAGTCACACCATCGACTACACCAACTCACTGTATCGTATCAATTACCAATACATGATGTAGAACAAGGTTAGGCTAGAGAAAGAACAATATATTTAATATGAATAGAAGATATAAGGTAACATTCGGCAGAGACCATGCCTGCATGGACGAGCCATGCCATCCGATCAACTCCAGTACATTCAATTCCTTGTTCGCGCCTTCTCCATTGTTAGGTATTTCTCCGCGTTAAATATTGAATATCTATTTTCTGAGTAGTCTCGTGTTCACAGCTTTGTGGATTGTGTGGCTATTGTCCAATGCCACTACACCCTAACCATAAGATTAGCTGAGACGGTAGCACATGTTTCAGGGACATGTGAACTGGTGAGATGTAAGTTGAAATGCCGAAGGCAAGATATTGAAGTAGTTGTAGTTTATCGCAGTCCAGAATGTGTAGCAGATGATTTTATCCTAAGTAAACTTAAGTCCTGGTGTAACAACGGTAAAAGTCTTGTAGTAGGCGACTTTAATGCACCACATATAAACTGGGTTAACTTAGAAGTAGGGTCATCCATATCGTCGTTCGACTGCAAACTGTTAGAAACCTCGATTGGACTAGCATTATTCCAACACATTAGAGATCCCACAAGATACGACTTAAGAAACTCTTCCTCTCTTTTAGATTTAGTCTTCACACACGGTGATGACGTTGGTCAAATGGCTTTTCACCCACCACTTGGGAGAAGTGACCATGCAGTCATCTTATTCAAATTCATGGCTGAGATTGCTTGTCAACCAGTTGCGCCGGCCCGTCCTAACATATGGAAGGCAGATATGCAGGCAATTAACTCCTCAGCATCGGCTGAGAACTGAGAAATTGACTCAAAGGCATCAGTGCAAGAGGCATGGACTCTATTCAGGCAGTTATACAATCGGGTAACTCAACCATACATACCCTGGACTGTCCCAAAGAAAAAGAAGCAGGGACATCCCTGGATAGGGCGGGATATTCGACGCTTACTAAGACAAAAGAAGAAATGCTGGGATGTTGCCATCCGCCTTGGCACAGCAGGTACGATGGAACGCCACAGATCGATAAGAGACGAGTGTATAACTAAAATTCGGGAAGCGCAAAGGAAATATGAAATGCAGCTGGCACAATCTGCACTCAAGCAGCCCAAGAGGATATTCTCCTACATAAACTACAGAACAAGGATGCATCACTGGATTCCCAACCTAATTAAAGTAGGAAGTGAACCTGAAATGATAGAGGAAGATCAAGAAAAAGCAGAGGCTATGGCTGAATATTTTGGGGCAGTTTTCACTCAGGAACCTCCTCTAGAGAAAGAACCAGACCCAAATACAGAGTCAACAAACCAGCTGCTCACCGCGGACTTTGACCAAAACGATGTGCTTAAGGCTCTTAGCACCCTAAACATGGAGAAGTCAACAGGACCAGATGAACTACACCCTAATATCTTGAGACATATTACCCAGTATATCGCAGCCCCACTGACTGTAATATTCAAAATGTCACTTGACCAAGGTGTGTTACCTATGGACTGGAAGGACGCAATCGTCACTCCCATACATAAAACAGGTCCACGACAAGTTCCATCGAATTACAGACCCGTAAGCCTCACCAGTGTTGTAATTAAAATACTGGAAAGGATAATCAAACGGACCATAACGGCATTTATGGAAACCAATAACTTGCTGAATATGGCACAACATGGTTTTAGAAAGGGTCTATCCTGTACAACGAACCTCCTTATAGCAAGGGAGTTCTGGATTAATGCGCTAGACAACGGAAACTCAGTGGATGTTGTCTACATAGACTTCAGTAAGGCTTTTGACAAGGTGCCAACTAATAGACTGCTATCGAAGTTGGTAAATATTGGTATTGCCTGACCTCTTTTAAAATGGATTAAGGATTTCCTAGTAGGTCGTAGACAGAAAGTAAGAATAAATTCCAAGTGCTCCATCTGAAGACCATTACTTGGTGGAGTACCCCAAGGTTTTGTCCTAGGTCCTTTACTTTTTATAATGTACGTTAATGATCTTACAAGTATAGTACAGTCTCCAATGTTATTATACGCTGACGATGTAAAAATTTGGCGAGTAATAACTGGAGACAAAGACGCATTTACTCTTCAGGCGGACTTAAATAATATGATAAACTGGTCTAAAGAGTGGCTGATGCCTATCAACTCGGAAAAGTGTGTCTACATGCACTTGGGGGATTCAAAGGTTAATACGTACAACATAGGGGATGTGTCATTACCCGTAGTCCGGTCTCATAAGGATCTAGGGGTGACAGTGAGCAATGATCTTAAGACGACGGCCCATTGCCGGGAGGTCGCAGTTAAAGGGTTTCGAACCCTCTGGGTTTTAAAAAGGACATTCACTAAGTTAGATACTACCATGTTCACCACAGTATACACATCCTTAGTGAGAATTAAGCTAGAGAACTGCGCTCAGGCTGCAAGCCCCTGTTTAAAAGGCGACTCAAACATACTAGAAAAAGTACAGAGGGCAGCTACGCGTGCTATTCCGGAACTCCGGGGTTTATCATATAAAGAGCGGCTTCAAAGACTGGACCTCTTTATTCTGTCCTATCGCAGACTAAGTGGAGATCTAATTTTGATGTACAGAATACTGAGAAATGATTTCGCACCTAACTTATTCTCTTTCTTTCTTCCCACTAGATCGGGACACCTCAGAGGACATAGCAGGCGAGTAGAAAAGCCAAGAACGAACAAAATAACCGTGGCATACAGGTTTTCACACCGAGTCATCAATAATTGGAACCTGCTGCCTGAAGCACTGGTGTCCCCAACTTCAATTGACTTGTAGCGTGGCGTCGAGTTGAGATTACCTATGAACACCGCTACCAAGAAACACGTGCCAAATAAATCAGAAGGCGAAGGTTGAACGTAATCAAAGAAACCCATAAAATCCCCGAGAAGCCAAATACCAGAAGGCAGTTAATGGACCAAGTCGAGTTATATTTGCTGGCGATCTCGTGGCATCGAGAGGATACCGAGATCGTGCCAGGATACAAGCTTGGTTACAGTACGTAACCGAATTCGCGCGAAGTCAGTGCAAGTCAGTATCGCCTCTGGTTGTGATACGACAGTTTTTATGAGTGGTAATGAATCATCTAATCAGATCAATAGTAATCAACAAGCTCTCGATTCTGAAGCTGATTGTGGTTTTATAGTTTATAGAACTCGAGAAAAAGATCCAATGGCTAAATTTAGCAGGACTCGTTCACTTGATATGCATTCCTTGTTCTCAACAATTCATGATGAAATATCTGGAAAGACAGTAACCGACACTCGACAAGATGTTTATACATCTGTTGACGATATGTCAACATCTTGTTTGACACAACCATTTCTGCACCAAACTCCTAGACCTACAAAGAAACGGTGGTTATCTCGGGCTCTAATGGAGGAAGATGTCGAATTATCTAACAATAATTTTTCAAACTGTTCCCACTCAATTAATCATTCACTATCCACTAAATCAGATTCATCTTTAGTCATGCAAAATTCATGTGCTACGCCAGTTAATCCGAAAAGAGGATTATCTCCCGACTTTCCGGGATCTCTGAAGACTTACCTATTTGTACGTATTTCGAAAGCGATGATAATCTCAAAAAAGAAAGCGTCACAATTTTGTCTGATCGTTTAGCGAACAATCCAGATGATGAACAGGTGGTTTGCAATCCAGAATCTAAAGTTATTTCAGAGTCACAAGAAGATCCTGAGTTTTGCGATGGTCTATCAATTCATCTGGCTCCTCTTCCTCCGAAGAAAGCTACAGTAAAGCAACAAGCTGAAGAGTTGCGATTGCAAGAGATACGTAAAGTTCGTGTTTCCCTCTCTGAATATCGTCGACGTCGTGGTCTGCCAGCCCTCACACCCGCTACGGAACGAAATCATAAGCAGACGAAAGAGCCGCTAGATCAATCAAACGGTAATATTGATAATTTAGAAATTATAATCCCACCAACTCTGATTAGTCCTGACCGACTTCTAATAACGCTCCCAAATCTTCACAATGAGTCAAGGCCATCCTCTGACGTAAAAAGTTCTGATGGATTACTGCAGAAAATTACAACATTGAACATGAAACCTGAGGTTCTTCATGATTACAATCAACCCCTATCACCTTACACAAATACACCAAAAAGATGTGAATTCGATAGCGAACGTGATTTTATTGATGCAAAAGTAAGTGAACGTGGACCTCGAACACCAAGCGAGCCACCAGATGATGACGATGATGAAGATATCGGGGTCGATTCTACAAATCCCGTTAGTAGAGGTGCTCTTAGTAGTTCTCCTGAACCGTTCATAAGATTTCCTGGTAAAGTGCTTTCTTCTCACAGCTCACCAACATCTACATTCTCGGACTCTCGTATAGCCTCAGAAAAGCTACCTTTCAGGAACAGTTCACCTCCAGATGTGAATTCTAGCAAATTTTCTGATTCGCGCTTCCAGGCTAACATGTTTGCTTCTTCGAAACCAATTAATCGTGAAAATCTTTTACATGACATCGATCATGCTAAGGAGTACGATCAAGATCGTATTGGGTCCGAAGTTGTAGATCACAAGCCTTCAGTTAATATACCAGTTTCTACTAAACAAGTACATTTTGATAGACTGGCTCATTACTATAAGAAGACATTTAACTTAGATGATTCTCAACATCTGTATGGTTTGGTGATTTCCACAAGTGCAAGTATAAGAATGGAAGCACAAGATAGCTGTCATTAGCACAGTCAAACAAAAGCACGTTAAAACAAACACTGGTACAGTTGGTTATAGTAATAATTGTTTTTATTAAACCAGTCGTGTTCTCGTGATAAATGTGAGTCACTACAGACTCTTTCAAGAGAAGACTGGACACTCACAGATGCATACTAGGAAAGGAATAACATAGGCCGTAGGCCTTCTGTCCTTACTACACAAATCTGAATCTGAAACTGTACTAAAGACATACTTTCTTCCGAAGATTGTGACCTTGCACGAATTCGGTTACGCTCAGTCACCACACTTGTAGCCAGGCACGTAGTCTTCCTGTAGTGGTGGTCACAGTCAACCGCAACTCGACGCCACACTACAGTTCCTTGAGAGTTGCATAAGGAAGCGAAATGGGCTTTTCGGTGAAGCCAGAGTGTTTAGTAAGCTGTAAGCTTTCCTTTCGATGAACGTAAGGAAATGTGCCACAATATTAACATTTTCAACATCTTCCTTGGCTATAGCCCAGATTTTGAACCTTCCCAAGTGGTCCTCAAAAGCGTCAGAATTTGAATGTATGTCCAACCATTCCATCACAGGCTCCATCGCGACGCCAATGTGATAATTAGGAGTATTTGAATTATAGTACAAACTAGGAATTCCAGAAATGACGCAATCAGATCAAGAAGTACTATATAAGCACTAATGAATGTACTGTATTTGGAATTCCAATTCAAGCATTCAACAAGTACAAAGGAATCTTTAGTTCATACAAACACCACATTTACATAGGGATGCATTCCTTATGATGTTTGTTACTTCCTAGAACCTCCTGGTATGTTGAACTTAATGCTTCTTTGATGTGTTCCCAATTATCCTTCATAACAATTTCCTATTCTCTGAGTAGATCTTGTAAGGCTTGTAATCTGTCTTTGATAACTATCTTGAATTCATTGAGTTTGTCAGTATCTCGAAGGAGGGCTGTATTGAAGATTTGTAATGCTGTTCTTCCAGTTGTCCAGTGTTTCTTTATTTTCATTTTCATCTTGGCCACCACCAGGTGGTGATATGAAGCTATGTCAGCTCCTCTCCTGGCTCTCACATCTTCCATTGTCCTTCGGAATTTTATATTGATGTGTAGCGTGGCGTCGAGTCGAGATTGACAATGAACACCGCTACAGAGAAACACGTGCCAAATAACTCCATAAAATCCCGGGGAAGCCAAATATCAGAAGGCAGTTAATGAACCAAATCGAGATATATTTGCTGGCGATCTCGTGGTATCGAAAGAATACCGAGATCGTGCCAGGATACAAGCTTGGTTACAGAGCGTAACCGAATTCGCGCGAGGTCACAATCGAAGTAAGTATGATGTATGTTTTTAGCACAGTTAAACAAAGAGTACATTAAACAGTCACTGGTACAATTGGTTATAATAATAATTGTTTTCAATAAACCAATCGTGTTCTCGTGATGAAAGTGAGTCATTACAGATGCAAACATGATCTATCTGGTTCTCTGTGGTGTGGTGCGGTGAGATCCATGTAGCTTTGTATATACGTTTGTGTGGGAATATTGTGCCACCTATGACTAATTTGTTGAATGCACATAGATTTGCAAATCTCTCGCCATTTTCGTTTCCCTCTACCAGTTCACGTCATCTGATGCTTTCTTCATGACCATTGTTATCTATTCCGACTTTGACGTTTAGATCTCCCATCAGAATGGTGAGGTCCTTTCGTGAGCACTTCGTTATGATCGACTGAAACCTCTTGTAAAACTGATCTTTATCGTCGTCATTGTTATCATTGGTGGGTGCATAACATTGGATAACGTTCATCATGATTCCATTCTTCTTTGTTTTGAATGATGCTTTGATGATTCTGGATCCATGAGATTCCTTAATTTCTGCAAATTAGTGATGAGATATTTTGATTATCAAACTGTATTTGGGAGTAGAATTAAGAGTACTTAATAATGGGATTCAGTGGAAGAATTTCGTTGTATTTGAGGCTCGTGAGCTAAATTTTCACACATTTCAAAGATCGTTGGTATATTCACTGGAATTCGAAATTTGTACACAACTTCTCAAACCTTAAAGTTGCTATAAATGGTGATCTCCAGATGCTGTTTTCTCCATGGTTGAACTGGTACATGGGTCTCATGAAAGAGCCTTTAGATATATATTTAGGATAACTATACAGGCAGTAACGAGATATTCATTTAAGGTGATTGTACGTTATCAGAGACTGATCAGTTCAGTCTTGTAACTCATTAATAAGAAAATGTCAGCTGTAAAAACTGAGCGGATACTGGATATTAGTGTTACGTATTTAGATGACATTCAAATGGTTTACTCACTGATCATCTATTTTTAACTAATAATTACTATTTTATAATATACACTGAAATTCAAATCTATTCCCAAAATCTTATTCATGGAACATTTTCAGAACTCTAGGATTTTCAAAATGATAGCATCATCCCTACATGTGATTAAATACTCATTATTTTAATTGTAACCCAATTGTCTTATTGATGACGATGAAAAATTTACATCTGTAAAACCTTTTTGACCAATCTGCAATTCATATAGGCACTGTACTTCAAACTGGGAGATTACTAAATTCTTTTTCAGACAAACTGTACAAGATCCGATCAAGTTTCATTTTATAGTTTAAAATATTTTTGTATATTGTTTTCTGTTCGTTTTTGTTAGGTAAATACATTAGTCCATATCTATAATATTGGTTTACATAAAGTTTGAATACTAGGTTTTTAATTAGCTTCTTATACACTAAATGAACGTATGTTTGAAAATTGTGGAAAATGATCTTATTCTCGTTATTTTCAAACAATTATAAATCTGAAGTGGTCTTGTGGAGATCTTAATAGCTGAAATCATGAGTCAACTGAAGCTAGGCCACCATGGAAAGCCTGAAAGCACTGGACGGCCGTTTCGTCCTATTGTGGGACTCCTCAGCAGTGCGCATCCACGATCCCGCCCCCCGAGAGATTCGAACCCAGGATCTATCAGTCCTGGTGTTAGTGTCTAACATCAAACAATCCACGAAACTGCGCGACCATCCTCCATTGTACTGAAGTAGATACCTGTCTCTACCCTACACGGAATAGCTCCACTGGTCATGGCTTCTCACTAGAACTTCTAGAATTCCCTCACGAAGCTAGTCACTAGTGAGCACATGTTTTCAAATTTAAAGCACTTAGTTTTTCAGAAGTCTCTTCTATCAAAAGTTTTCGATCTCAATTATGTAAACAGGAACAAATGTCGATTAAATATAATTTACTTTCAAGAACTTTCATCTATTATAGTAACTATGGCATTTCTTTAAAGTTCTATTTACTTTATTCGTTGAGTTAATTGTTTTCAAATTGGATTGCTTGATATTTTGTATTTTATTCTTCATTTTACTAATTTTCTATGTAATTTGTTCTTTAATAAACTTTTGTAAATCAAGGACAATAAACATTGCGGGATGAAGTGAATTGATTTCATTTCGTGTACTTTAAGTTTTCAACATACGTACCGATTTTTAAGTAAAGAATATGTTATGAGATAGTGACTGACTGAAGGCAATGGTGGATGTGTCACTCAGTCCCGTGGATTAGTTGAAGTTAAACATTTACACCACTGGATGCTGGCTCAGTGGTCTAGAGATTAAGCGCTCACGCGAGAGACTGATAGATTCTGGGTTCGAATCTCGCGGGGGGCGGGATCGTGGATGCACACTGCTGAGGAGTCACATACTAGGATGGAACGGCCGTCCAGTGCTTCCAGGCTTTCCATAGCTGTCTAGCTTCAATTGATTCATGATTTCAACTATTGAAATTTTAAATCTGTTGATAAATGTACATAATGGTATTTATATGATTGTGCTCATATAAGCTAAATGAATGCTTTACTTTGACTAGGGAAGAAAAGAAAATAACTTTAATCATAAAAAATAGTAAGGTTACTTGTATATATTAATTTCCTTCTTATTAAAATTAAAATGAACATAAATTTCAAGATAAAATAATTAGTTTTAGTTTATAGTAAACATTTTACACTCTTATTCTTATTACTAACTATTAAGCCTACAGACAGTGAATAATATTAGGAAATTTTATGAATTTTAACACTATTGTAGACAAAAAATGCGACAAGGATATCGTAGTAGTAAATCTATTAGGCTTTGATATAAATTATTGAAGGTACTTATCTTTTATCTAAGTTATATTGGGGAATTTCGAACTGTTCTCCAACAATCCTAAAACATTTATGTACATAATGGTGATTAATGACATTGATTCTTACAAAAAAATATGGATCGTATTTGGTGTAGATGAGTTCGTTGCGTGTTTAAGTGTTTAATTTAACATTACTATGTTCAACTTTTGTTTTACCTTTCACTATTTTGTTCATTTATCTGCATGACCTCATCACTATTGAAACTTATAACTTAGCACATCTTAAGTGTTATTTTACGATTAAATTTTTAGACAAGCAAATTTAACTTACATATAGCCATTCTATAACAATTCAAAGGTGAATAGTTCACTGAAAATGTTCACTCCTTAATACTTGGTCTTTGTTTACAAATAACTGTTATAACTTGTGACCGCCGATTAGAGAGCAGTGAATTATCGATCGGATCAATGACGCGTAAACACGTGCGAGCAGTCTAGAGTCTTGATTGGCCATGCTTTCCGCCTAGCCCAACCAGTTAAGTCCAGGACACCAATCCGAGCCTGTGCTATACGAATCATTATATTTCAAACACACTGAGTTTATATACCGATCAAACAGATCACAACGTGCCATAAAATAGAAAATAACATTTGTACAATATTTGACCAAACGTGACTGTGAATTAGGGAGACAGTGACTAATAGACAGGGCAGAATTCAAGAATGGTAAAACGTATAATAATAGCTTATGGGTCAAAATAAAGCTTATAATAAGAGGAATATGAATATGCATAGTTTAGTTACCTAATAATTATACAATGTAAATATATGTTTAGTATTGGTCC